ACAGAGGCAGCTGCAGGAGCTCAGCTCTGCATCAAGCTCTGCATCTTGGGTTGCGCTCTGCAGCAGATCCCACTCCCCTGTCAGCGCCATCACGTTTGTCCCGTGCGGCTGGCGGTGACTTTGGGTTTGACAGAACCGCGCAGCATCTCCCTCCCTTGTCCTCAGGAGGGGACATGTGGAGCCCCAGTGCATGGGCTGTGTATCGTGGGCTGGCTGCTGTCCCCTTCTGCAGCTGGGGAAGTTAAATGGGCACATCTAAAAGTGGAAAGAGTCACTCACTCCCCCTCTCATTCTCTCATACGTTTGGACTTTTATAACATCTGAATCTGGCACCACCAGCTCTCATTGATTTTTGGGAAACAGGATATTTTAGTAGCTTGGAATGAGATAAAATGCTTGCAAAGCCCATATGTTGCTTGTTTCAGGCAAAGGGTCAGGAAGGTTTTAGAAAGTATTTAAATATTTGGTTTACACGATTGGAATAGATTGTCTGGAATGGAGTGCGTTACCCGAGGTGGTTCTTGCCGCGCGGCGCTGTTTTCATTACAGCTCTCTGCAGTATGAGGTAGGTGTTCTGGCAGCGCAGCACCAGTAAAAGTTGAGGGCTGTGAATAAACAGTGATGGGATCTGGGCAGCGCCGCGGCCATGGGTGTCTGCTGTGGCTGTGTCTGGGGTGAGCAGTTGTGGGGTCCTCGGGTGTCTGCCCATGGGGCTCCAGTGGCAGATTTCATAGAAGTGGCCTTTTTCCTTCCCCCACAGCAAAACTTTGGCATTGAATCCTGAGAGCTGCAGCCTGGCACTGACTGCTCGTAGGGGTGCATTCAGCTTGCTGCGGCTTGGAGCTTCATTGTCCTGTCCTCAGGTTTTGATGAGCCATGATCTCTGTATAATCCATTGATTATGGAAGATAGGATTTTTATTTGAAGGTATTGCTATGAGTCTGCAGTTCCTGCAGCGCTGTTCTCAAGTTTGTTTAAAATACATTGCAGTCATGGCAGTGGTGCATCAAAGAACAGGGCAGTCCTGGTCTGCGACATGCAGGATGGTTTCTGATGTGTTTGGTAACATGGGGCAGTTCTTCAAAGATTTGCCTGGTCTTTACCGCACTCATCCGATCCCGTTGGAAAGCAGGAACTTGGTGTTGCTCCTTTGCTGTGTGGTGTTGATATTTTTGTATGAATTATGAAGCATTCTTTGATATCTGGCATTTCCCCTTGTGATCCTCTGCTTTTTATAAGTGCTTGCCCTCTAACTTCAAAAGCAGTTCATCACCTTCCCGCAGACAGTTACTAACAACCGATTGGGAACGGGCATTCCTTGGCCTGTTTTATGTGAGTTTCTCTCCAAAAAAAGCATTCAAATAGTGGCCATAATGTGTGCAGACCTCAAACCGCCTTGGCCAGCATGAGGAGAATCTCATCACATGTGGCTTCTTGTGCTGTCATATGTAGGCTTCTTCCATAGATTTAATGACTAAAAGAAAAGCTGAAGTTAAGAGAGTAATTAAATCTACCCTGTCCTGAACTGTGCTGCCTCCTAAATTACCTGGAAATTATCGTATGCTGGGGAAAGATATTTTTGTGCTTAGCCTGTGGTGGAGCAGCGTGGGTTTTAATGCAGCATTGGAGAGCTGGGCCGGGCCAGGCGTCTGTCCCTCTGTCCATCCATCTGCCCTCGAGGTCCCGCAGAACTGAATCCGCCTCCTCGCTGGGATTCATTGGGGAGGAAAAAGCTGTGCTTTGTGACGGATCTGAAGGAAAATAATTGGCATGGGGATAGTTAATGTGAGTTGCCATTCCTTAGCGTTAGAGATCCCACTAAAGCACTAATAATTACTGTTAATAACTTTCAGTGGAAACTTTCAGAGTAAATGAGCACTGGCTAGAGCAGTATTTAACGGCGTGCTGCTGGCAAGATAAGAATGCAAATAAGCGTTATTAGCCTAATGATTTTGCTGTCGCCATGGCTGTGCGGCAGCAGTGTTGTGAATATGTCATGCAGTACCCGTGAATTTGGAAAGTGTGTCAAAACACAACTTCAATTAGTTTGCTCTAATTATGACTCTAGAGAGTTCGTAAATGTATCACTCCTCATTAAAAGATATTTTCTTATATGGATTAGTACAGCACGTAACGGGATGTTTGAGCGATGCGAGGCAGAGCTGTGCGGAGGGAGGGTGCCCGTGGTGTGCGGGGTTGCGGGTCCATCCCTGTCCCCTGAGCTCCTGGGGCAGGGCCAGGCTGGGGAACCCCCCTGCAGGCAGTGGGACCTGAACGGCTGCTCCCCCAGAACCTGGACAGTGGCTCTGGACGGGCTCTGTCTGTGGCTAAAGGAAAAAATAATGAGGGTGACCTAAAAAACCAAACCAGCCCCCAACAAAACCAAACCAAGCGACAGAAGCGCTGGTAGGAGCCGTGCATGGTGCCAAAGTAGAGATCTGGCCTGAACGCCTGTCCCAGCCCAGCTCTGGGAGGAGCCCTGCGGGCGCTGAGTGCCCATCTTTTAATCCATCTTTTTGCATTGCCCAGGCGTGCTCTTGCTTTGCAGAACAGGGAGCAGGTTCTTGCACTCACAGGTGAGCAGTTGGTGAAGAGTTAAAGCAGTAATTGTTTAAATCTTTTAGGCTTTCCTCCCAGTTCTGTGATAATTTGATGAAGAACTTCACCCTAATTAAATATTCAAATTAGGAATAAGTGTCAATATGGCTTCCCATTGCCTGGAATGATGATTAATTGTATTCAAAACTCTAGTGGCCGCTGTAATCTAAACCAAACCGTTGTTCTTGATTATTTCTGCAACACATTTACCGTGTTTTTGTTTTAAAATTTAAACTAGTAATTGATTTGCCATATGCCGCAGAGCTGCACATACTTTCACGATATGTGTTTAGGAACTTGGGGACTTTGTAATTGGGATTTTCTTGCTTTTCAATGGCTGCCTCTTTTTTATTTTTTTTTTTCCTTCCACAATGCAAAATGATTTGGCTTTCACGAGGCAGAAGGAAAATGCATTATGTAATCAACTTGGTACGTATAAGTTATATTGATCCTGGCCAAAGTTTGCATTAATTTAAAATGAATTAGAACTTGTTTCACATTTTCCCTACCATGTCACGGTTTTACAGCAGGGCTGGGGCAGGGGAGAGCCGATCTCCTGGCAGTCGCTGCCCTCTGTCCTCTGCTCCCACAGTTGCGGGTTCCTGTGGTTCTGCTCTGGGAGTTGCCAGGCGAGGGCTGCGTGTGCGTCCTCTGCACTGAAATACTCTGCTGAAAACGGGCTTCTTACAGCCCTTGTTTACTCCCAAAGCAACCTCTGCTGTTTTGTTTGAGATGGAGAAAGCGGTCCTCTGTACAGGGAAGAGGAACTCGGACATCTTTGTTAGCTGTTTTGGTGCCTCAAAGTATTTTTGGATACTGCTATTAAAAACCAAATGAAAAGCGCATAATGCCTACAGGCCCCGGTCTTCTGTTTTAAAGTGTGTTCATGACAAACCTGCCTCTGCTCGCAAAGGCTCTCATATGGATTGTGTTTTAAACAAAAAACTTAGCCAAATTCGAGGATATTTTCACACCATCTTTTTTTGGTTAGAAATAGCTTTGGAAAGCACAAGCAAACTCAAACCGATGTTTGCTTTTTCTTATTTTATCCGTGCTGTTCACCATCAGCTGCATCAAGGTCTAAAAATACTTACAGTTCTTCACAGAACGTGTCCTGGTTTTAAAGGCAGATAATTTCCAGATGATTTGCTCCATAGATAAAACCTGCTTGCTAACAGCGTGGATTTGATGCTCTGGAAAATCATGGGATGTTTCTGGCAGAGAGGGCGGTTGAGGGGCTGCGGACGGTGCCAGGGTCCTGCTGTGTGCACTGGTGTGTGGTGGTGGCTGCTGCCTCTGTTCTTGTGCTGCACTGAGCCTCCGAAGAGGGAGCGGCGTGTTCATTGTGTATGGCAATGGGGTCTGAAGATTAAAAATAACATTTTGTAAAAAGTCACAGACCTGGGATCAGTGTTAAAATTATGCAGATTTGAATTGAAAGGGAGAAGCCCGAATCTCTTACCAAAGCATAGAAATCTGTGGTTACTAGCAAGCTCCATGGTGGCTGCACTGGCCGGAGCGTGGACAGGGTGATGGCAGCGGCAGAGCCAGGTCCACCATGACGAGTATCCCCCCTCACGCTCCTCTGTGCCCAGGTGGATTTTGGGGCCGTGCAGTGCCACGCGGAAGGGCTGGCGCTGCCTGTGGCCCCCTGCCCGGAGTCTGTTGGCTCTGTCCCCAGTGCCAGAGGATGGTGCAGGTGCTCAGGGCTCTGGCAGGTTCTTGTGCAGCACCTCTGCGGCCCAAGGGCCTGAGGAGAGCAGGAATTGCCAGATGTCAGATACTGCTCCCCACCCCATGTCTTCCTGGGAAAGTTGCCTACCACCTCTTCTAGCCTGTGCCCAGCCTTGCTCTGTGCTGGGTTTGCCCTTTATTAAGCTCTGAGCCACGGAGATCATTTCAACTTCACTTCGTGAGCTCTGTTTTCTCCTATTTATAGAAAGGTTTAACAGGAGATGTAAAAACATTTCCCCGCTGCAGGAAGGCCCGGCAGAGCATTGTTGAGAGGGTGTTGTGCGCTGAGCCGAGTTTGGCTTCCCTTGTCCCCACCTCGGGAAGCAGGCACCGAGCTCTGGGCAGGGCTGGCGCAGTCCTTGATCACCGGGAGAGTTTCAGAGACCTCACTTAGGAATGCACGCGAGAGTTTTTGGCACAGATGAATCCAGAGCACGCCCTCTTGGCGCTTTCTGCCTTGAAGGAACCGCAGTTGAGTCCCGCGGGGTGCCTTACATTGAGCCATGTGTTTGCAGAGGGGATGTTGTGCTTGCAGCCACCACACAGGCTGTCCCCATGTCCTGGCTGTGAGGAGCTGCCATGTCCTGCCACAGTGTGGATGGCGAGAGCAAGCTGACGGCAGCAGCCCCGCACTAACATCCTCTCCATTTCCCCCCTCTCTCCCTCAGGCACATCTCGCTGACGCTCCCTGCCAGCTTCCGAGGGAAAAGTCACAGCACTCGCCTGGACCTGGAGCACCAGCACTCAAACCTGTACGCCATATCAGGTGAGCTGGCATGTGCAAAGGGTTTGTCTCTCTTCTGGGTAACCAAAAGCATAACCACCTAAAGCAGCCCTGCTTGCACATAGGGCTGTGTATGAGGTACCCACAAAGGTATGCCCGGCTTTTCCTCAGAGCCATTTAGTGTGGAGGACAGGAGTGCAGAGAGACCCCAGAACGTGCCCAGGCACATGGGTGACTGCAGCAAATGGTACTGCTCACTGGGGAGACCGCAGCCCTCTGGGAGGGGTAGAGGTGCTGCTGCCTGCGAGGTGCTAGATGGGAGCTCTGCTGGAAAGCGACACCCACACAGGCTTTGCTCCTCTTCTCTCCCACAGCCCTCACAGGTAAGAGAGGATGTCTCTGCCCACTCCTTTTGCCTATCGAGGATGTGTTTTGTACGTGCCATTCTCTGCTGCACTTGACATATGCATTATGAACACATTAGATCTTCACTCTTTCTCATTTCTATATTCTGAATACTGCCACTGCATAGACTTGTTTCTCCAGTATTAGGGCAAATTTGAAATTAGACATTAGGATGTGAGGGGGTTTTAAGAAGCTTGTGCCTGCACATGCACACTTGGTCTCTCTGGCTGCAGCTTTCTCTGCTCCCCACTCCAGGCTAGTGTACAAGTGCTGGAGCAAGTGAGAGTTTCCAGATGTCAGTGTGGAAAAAAATGTGCCAATGAATATTTTAGTTGCTTTTATTTTTAACCAGTACTCGTCTGCAGGGAAAATGTGTGTTTAAATAGTGGTGAGGATGGAGCCCATTTCTCCACCCCTGCAGGTACAGGTACTTGTCACTGTGCTTTGGGACCACGCGGGATGGGGGGGGGGCTGGGTTTGAGGCTGGGGTCCCTGTGGGCTGTCCCTGACAGCTCTGCTGCTCTGGAGGAGCTCCTGCCCACCAGCACTTCCCTTAGAGGAGGAGTGAGCTAAAAGGAGCGCAGTCCTCGGACACAGGAGGAAATGCCCCTGGGAGCGAGGGGTGGGAATGCTTTGAGCTGTACCTTGTGGAGTCAGTCAGTCCTGCTCCAGAGCTCTTCGTGAGCCATGGCAAAAGGATTTTCTAGTTGTGCAAACTAAAGCAAAGCGTTGGGTGCAGCTGTGGCACAGCAGTGCCTTTCAACTGCCTCCTGCAGGGCCAGCTCCAATTCTGTGCTGGGGTGTGAGAGAGCTTTCCTTAGAGGGTTTTGTTTGGTTGGTTGGTTTGGGTTTTTTTTTGAATAATATTACACCTGAACAAATATTGTGATGGGCATGGTAAGATCACACTTAGCCACAGTTTTCTCTTTGTTGTGTCAGTTTTGCAAGAGGAGAAAAGTACTGGATTTAAACGTGACACTGTCAAAACCTCATGGAGGTACGGTCCTGTCATGTGGCTGAAGGGGATTTTAGGACAGTTTGGAAATCCAGAATCAGCAGCGGTGGGTTCTGTGGGCTGTACAATAGGTACTGCTGTGCGTAATCAGGGAAGAGAAGATGGCAAAAATGTGCCACTCACAGGTCCTTGCTATTAATAGTGAGTGACACTTCTAACATGGGAACATGGCATTAATTCATGTACCATAATCAAAAGGTTATTTAAAAGGTAATCTCTGACTGCAACTGCAGCTTCAGGTTCCTAAATAGATGGAATATAACAATTGCATAATTCTTGTCAATGCTCGTTTTCCTCCTTAATCTCCTGCCCTAATAGATGTGGAGATGTGAGAGAAGGTGCGTTCCTGTGCTCGCAGGAGGACGGGCAGCTGCGCTGTCTCTGAGGAGGCACCAGATGTGTAGAGGAGGCAGTGGCTCTGCAGGACCAGTGTTACTGTGACGACCCTGCTCCAGGTGCGGCCGTGGCTCGTGCAGGCGGGAAGGTGACCTGGTTCACAAAGAACCTGAGTGCTTTACCAGATAACGATGGGCAAAACACAAAGCAGGCCTGCAAAAAGCTGTGCTTGGCGGTAGCGCTCCAGAGCACGAGCACATTTCAGTCCAAGTGTAGGGCTCTCTTTGCCCCCAGCTGCACGCTCTCCTCCAGACATGTTGTTACAGGACTTGTTGTGCTTATGTGTGCTGTAATGGCTATTGCAGCTGCGAGTGGCTCTGAAGAAAGGCTCCTGTCATCTGAAGCGTCCTGCGCACTGGCAGGGATCTTCACAAGTAGCTCCTGACCGCTGTTCCTTTTCAGCAGCTCTGATGAGGTGCTGTGGCAATTCCCTCTGCGTGCTCAAATGTTGCCGTGGCCCATCAGCCCCCAGACTCTGTGGAAACCATTCCTTAGTTTCCTGTTACGTCGGTGCAGTTTGCAGCCAGTCTGGTTTGTCTGCGCTGCAACACGAGTGCCTTGCTGCAGCACCATGGCAACGGCAAATTTATTAACGCTCTTGCAGCGTCATCCCTAATTGCTCTGCCGGGACATGGTTTGCCGCGGTGGGCTCCTGGCTGCAGGGCCTGCAGCACCGGGGAAACGTGGGTGTGTAGAAGACACGTGGATGGTGGCAGCAAGCGGCCGGCATGGTGGGGAGGTGACCTGGGCTCCAGTGGGGGCAGGACCCACTCTGGTCCCACCGAGGCAGCCGTTTCCATTTCTTGGTGAAATGGAGGGGTTGCTGGCGCTGGTGCAGCTGTTGTGACCGGTCTCGTACCTCCCAATTTCAGTGTCACCTTGGTCTGAATCCTGGGATGGGGGTGCTGTAAAGGAGGGTGAAATGAGGAGTTACAGCATGGCCTCAGCAATCTGTGGACACCGTAGATTTTCTCAGTAGTCGGTGGAAACGACATTTCCATTGGGGTTCAGTCTGTTTGTGGAAGGTGAAATGAATTTGGCTGTTGAACCTACTCCATGTCTCAAAATACATTTTGGTAGGAATTGCCAGATCCCCACTGGAACTGCCTCGTTACTCCTTGGAGTGTGTAATGTGATTATTACCACAAAACTGGAGTCAAGAAGAAAATGGTCCTGAAGTAGTAACTACAGGTTTTAACCAGCCTTTTGTCGTTTCCAGTCCTGACTGGAAAGTTAGGGAGGCTCCCATTTGCACAGCAAACGAAGGAATCAGTCTTTGATGAGGTATGTATAGTAGACCATTGCCTGGATGTCACAGCCTGGCACAGGGAGCCTGCCATGTCCTGCTGCTGGCATCGTCCCCTGTGCCTGGTAGAGCCCCTGCTCGCACCGTGCCGCTCACCTGAGACCACAGGGCAGAATCTCCATGTGTGGCTGTGCAGGTCCGTGGGTGCTGTGGGGCTGACAGCTCTGATGCGCGCGTTCGAATGGCGGCTGCTGCAGGAGCAGCGCTCGGCTCCAGACAGCCCTGTCGACAGGCACCGCTCAGTATTTCACAGTGCCGTCTTTCTTAGTGGCCTTCAGCTTAATTAAGATGTTGTTGTGACTCTGGACTGCCTTCATTTCAGCCTTTGGCATCTTCTGGCTGCAGATTGCTGCAGCTTATCAGAGCCGCAAGGACGGTGAGGGAGAGAGGGAGCCCTCTCAGGCAGCCACAGATAATAACATACAGGGAAAATTCCTGAATGAAGTGAAAAATTGTTTATAATAATGGTACTCAAATAGAAGGGAAATAAGTCACTCTAAGGGTATATAAATTTTTATGATAGTATATAAACAGCCATAGCTTGCCTTGTCTCCCATCTATCCCTGCAGAGAATGAGGGCAACATCTAGCATAAAGAAAAATATAATAAGAAAATGAAGAAATGAATGGGAAGAGCCGGAGGATTGATCACTCGCTGTATTTGTATATCCTGATGTAAAAGGGTGCTGCTGACAGGTGGCCAGGTTTCTTCTGTATAAACCATGTGTGTGCTGTCAGGGCGGTGTGAGCAGCCTTGTTTCGATTGATGAATTGCCTGCTTTCTTGATTAAACCTTCCGTCACTTAAGAAACAAAAAGCCTGCGTTTGGATGGCAGAGTGGGACATGTCAAAAAAATCCGTCTGCTTTACCTTTGTGCAGATGTTGGGCACAGACTGTAACATGTATTATTAAAATGAATGTGGCATTTACTGTGCATTATTTCTTTCCTGGGAGAAAGGACCTGTAAATTATATGCTAATAATAAGCTTTAACCATTTCAGAAACCAGGAGATTTAGAAGTGCACATATTCCTGCAGGCCTCACTAGTGGGACGGGCTCCAGTGCCACTGCAGCTCTCATGCTGATGCACAGCGCGTTTTGGGCCAGGGCACTGGTGCCTCCTGGGGATCTCGCCTCCAATAAGTTCTCTGCTGTGCAAGTGTCACTGAAGCGTAACCCTTCTGAATTCCAAAATCTTCCCCCGAAAGCCCCCTTCAGACCCTGACTACAGGCCGAAGCTGTCTTGCCTGGGGGGAGCAGAGCCAGTGATGCACGGCCCTTGGTGGGGACACAGGCTCTGCCCCCAGGCCCACAGAGCCTCCCTGCCCAGCGCTCACCTTGCCCTGCGCTTAGAACCGCTTCAACCCAACCACGTGGAACGCACTCAACCGCTCATCTCAGGAGAAGGGGTAGGGATGGAAAAGCCTTGACACCTCGCAGACCCCATGGCAGGAAGGTGCGTTGGAAACCAGTGGCTGAGCTTGCGAAATGAGGCGCTTTTGCGGTCTCACCCTGTGTCCATGCCCCAGGTGTTTGGTGTGCTCCTGTGCGGGGCCGCACACCACTTACACACCACTTCTCACTCTTCTTGCACCCCTCCTGCATGCTCAGACTATCCATGATTGCGGTGGTGTTTCCTGGAAACACCAGCATTTCTCAGTTTTGCTGACACTGACCTGGAGGTGAAGGTTTAATTCTCTTTCAAAGGGAAAATGCCATGGCCTCTGGGTTGGATCTTGGGCGTTGTGTCCTGAAGTGCGTCACAGGCCGTATCTCCTGATAAAACCACATTCGTGATGGTGAGCGAGGCTGCAACGTTTGCTGGTCATTTGCTTAGGAATGGTGGGTTTTCAAAGCAGTTCTTTGGTGCAGCAATGCCTTTGTGTATTTTTCTTATCTTAAAAGTACCATTTTGTGGTT